TTGAGCAGCGAACTCGGGCTCGGTGTCGGAGAAGGTCTCGGGGGAGAACTCAAAGTGCCATTCGGTTCCGGCAGTCGACGGGTCATCCTTGGTGATTGAGCGAGCATACTTGGTGCAGCGCACGGCCATTTCCAAACTCTTCTGCTTGTCCATGTTGAAAACGATGCGACGGAAGCAGGGGCTGGTAGCCAGGTAGATGTGCAGAATAGCCTTCTTGGCACCCTTCAGAGAATCGACCGTACGACGGATCAGATCTTCCCTGCAGGGGGAGAGGACCTGAAGCCAGACATCATCGGGGCACAGACCGGGGGTCTCGACCAAGCTACGGGTGAAGTCGAAGTCGGTTTGCGAGGCAGAGGGGAAAGAGACTTCGATTTCCTTGTAGCCAATGTCGACGAGCATCTTGAAGAAGCGGAGTTTTTGTTGCCCATCCTGTGTGTTTCACAAAAGAGGGGTGGTCAGCCGAGTTATGCTAATTTTCTCCCCATTGCTCAATGTAATGAACTTACCATAGGATCGGGCAGACTCTGGTTGCCATCACGCAAATCGGTGGCCAGCCACCGGGGTGGGTTGTCGATGGTCTTGTTGGGCCATTGGCGGTCGGGAAGATGGAGGGGCTGAAAGCGCTTGTATTTCTGGGAGGGGTCCTTGAGCCTGAAGAGACAAGGAGGAGTCAGTCAGTGGATGAGAATCAATTGACGTGCATTTATGACCGCAATTAAAGCATCTGTTTAACGCAGACACCACTAGAATTGAGGAAATGCAGCATTAGTGGGAGAGAACGTACATAGGCATGGTGATGGAGGAGAAGCGGGAGGATCCGCAGCGGGGAAATGAGAGGAGAGGAAATGCGGGTGGAAGATATGGGGGGAGGAGGAGGAGGTGATGGAAGAGGTTGTAGATATATTAGTAGTGAATCACCTCACGGAAGAAGAGAGGTCAGGACAGTGATTCTTGCAATGAGGAAGGAAAAAAAAAGTTAAGAAGCTTAAAAAGAAACCAGGAACGGGGGGGAGTCAGACAAAACGGTGACGCAGAGGAAGAATGGGTAGGATTTAAAGGCGACGGGCGAGTGGCCGCCATGAGTCAAATGGAATGACGCTCGCCGCCTTTGGCCCTCGAAATTTGCGCCGACAGCGGATGGCGGATCGCCTTCTGATTTGGTACCAAGCCAGTGTCCCCTCTTCATACAACTTCTCTCCCATATCATGTTACATACAAAGTAAAACTATACTAAGAATTATTGCACCCTCCCCTGGCAACTCAATGGGTCTTCTCTATTTTTTCCCCGAATCAATCACCGGCCGAGAATTAGCAATCTGGTACGAAATCCCACTCCACCGGTGATCAACTCGGTTGGCTGGTTGGATGAACTGCAAGGGCAATCGGCTTCTCCGCTCCTCCTCTGGATGCTCGGCTCGCCGACACCGGAGTCCCTCGCCGCCCTTCAGGCACCCCGCTGTCTCCGTCGATAGCCGTCGACAGCCGCTACTATGATTCCATGTGTTCCCAGTAGAAGAAATAGATTCATAACTAAATAGGAAAAAGGGGGAAAGGGAAAATATACTATGTAGAAGATCGTAAATAGTCTAAGCAGAAAAATTGGAAATATCTATACAGTATATCCACAATATGCTAATGCGAATAGTAATTTTTTGTTTTAGGTCCCTTGAGTCTAGACCCGTCACCGTCTGCCTCATTTCTTGCCCTTCTTCTTGTTGTCCTTCTTAGCCTTAGGCAATTGCCCATTCTTCATGCTCTCCCGTGTGGCCCGACCCTTCTTCCAGCCAGATCCAGCTTCCTGGCGCTGGCGGGAGTCATCCAGACGCTTCTTGTCCTTGTTACTGAGCTTCTGCTTCTCCTTCTTGGACAGGCCGGCATCGGGCCCGTTGAGCTCCGCCGCGCCCAGCTTCCGCGCCGCCTTCTTGTCGCGCTCCGTCTCAAACCACGTACGCTTCGGCCGCGACTTGATCTCCGCTTCGTGCTTGATCAGGTTTTCTCCCTTGGTCACTTGCATCTCCGCCTGCGCCAGCTGCTTCTCGAGCTTCTCCTCCGACAGCACCTCCTCCACCTCCTCCGCCAACTCCTCCGCCTTGGCCGCCCAGGAATCCGCCACCGCCGGTTCAATCACCCGACTGGCAATCTTGGCTCCTTGCGACTTGCCCGCCTTCACCGCCGCCTTGACCACCTTACGGTCAGGCTCGGCGGCAATGGTGCATGCCCGACCGGAGCGGCCCGCACGCGCGGTACGACCAACACGATGCAGGTAGATCTCGTGGCTCTGCGGCGCCTCGTAGTTGATGACTGTCTCCACACCCTTGATATCCAGACCACGAGATGCCAGATCTGTAGCCAGGAGGAACGCTGCCTTGCCCTCACGGAAGTTCTCAACACTCTTGATACGCTGTAGTTGGAAAACACCCAAGTTAGTATCATCAATCATATTAGAAAATGGGGGTCGAGGTTAAGTAACATACCTGTTCTTGACTCATGCTACCGTGGAGTTCGGCAGCCTTCAAGCCCAGCAGTCCGAAGATAATCCGCACCCGGTGCGCCTCCTTCTTCTGTCGGAAGAAGACAATCACCCGACCAGTGTAGAGCTCCTTGCAGAGGTAGAGAAGGTAGCCCAGTCGCTTGTCCTCACGTCCAGGACGCAGACGCACGAATTCCTGCACCAGTGTCACGGCGGTGTTCTTCTTAGCATCGACCATCAGGCGCACAGGGCGGTTGAGACCGACGCGGATAAGCTTGTCGACCGTGTCCGTCATCGTAGCAGAGAAAAGCATGGTCTGGCGCGACTTGGGGATCGTAGTGAGAATTTCGTTCAACTCGTCGGCGAAACCGTCCTCGAGCATGCGATCAGCTTCATCCAGAACCAGAATTTCCAAAGTGTCGACAGTGAAGCTGGCCGAGTTGCGCATGTGATCAATGAAACGACCGGGGGTGGCGATGATCACGTCAGGACGCTTCTTCAAGATGTTCTCCTGCTCGCGAAGACTGAAACCACCGACCAGCTGACAGAAGGTGATGTCCGTATACGTCGCCAGCTTCGTGGCGACATTGTAGCACTGCACCGCCAATTCACGGGTGGGCATCAGGATGGCAACGCGACTCGTCGGGACCTTGCGTGGGCGGAACAGCAAACGTTCGAGAATGGGGACGACGAAGGCGGCAGTCTTTCCGGAACCAGTAACGGCACTACCGACAATATCCTTACCCAGGAGAGCCACGGGGATTGTCTTGCGCTGGATGGGTGTAGGGTTTGAGAAGTTGACGCCGGCGAGACCACGAAGAATGGGACGAGAGAGGTTGAATTCCTGGAACGAGCGCTTCGCATCTGCCATAGCAGACTCCGAAGTCTTCTCCTCCTCAGGAGCGAAGAAAGCCTTGCGCTTCTCCTCCTCCTCGGCGTCGACCTGACTCTCGTCGTCCGAGTCCCGGTCAGAGGCAACATCATCAGGGTGTTGAACAGGAGTGGCAACCGAGTCGTTATCCGAAGCAGCATCGTCATCATCCTCGTCCATGTCCTCGTCGTCATCACTGCCCTCAGCCTCCTCATCAGACCCTTCTTCCTTCTCCTCATCCTCCGCATCGGACTTGTCGCTCTCCTCCGCCTCACCATCAACACCCATACCGAACCCATCCTCCGCAAGCAGCTCATCATCCTCAAAGTCGACCTCCATACCTCCATCCTCCTCATCATCATCCTCCAACTCACTAAACTCCTCCGCCTCCTTCTGCTTCTTCTTCTGCTTGCGAATCAACTCAGCCTCCTTCTTGGCCTGCCTCCTCGAGATAATATCATCAATATCCACAGCCTTCTTATCCCCACCCTTACCATCCTCATTACCATTAATCTCCCATCCATCGAAATCCCTAACCTCAGTCGCAGCACCGCCAACATCGAACTCGAAATCCGAATTGAGCGCGCCGTCATCTTGACCCTGATCCTCTTCCTCCTCCTCTTCCTCTTCATCCTCCTGCTCTTCCTCAACAGGCACATTCTTCGCCTTCTTCCCTTGCTTCTTCTGCTGTTTTTGCTGCTGTTGTTCCTGCTTCTTCATCTTCTTATTCTTCCCCTTCTCCTGCTGCGCCGCCGCAGCATCATCTCTCTTGCGCTTCTTCGTTTTCGACCCAGAGGCTAGCGCACCATCGTCGCCCTCACCTTCCTCTTCAAGCTGATTTAACGTGTCGTTCTCGTCATCCGACAATGTGAGCACGAAGTCGTCGTCGGCGTTCGCGCGCTTTTTCGTTCCGGCCATGGTTGGCGTGTGGGAGGGAATGAAAGATTTCTTCCCTTGTTTTTTCTGTGGATGTGATGTTCCGTGAATGTCACTGAAGACAAGGTTCCGAGGGGAAAACAGAATCAAAATGAAAGAAAATAAGAGGAAAAAGAAAGCACCCCTCCTTATGTTCCAATTCAATGGGTTATGTTATGTATGTTGGTATCGGGATAAAGATGGAGAAAAAAGTTCAAATTTCGAAGGCGGTGGAGGCCGTTTGCGATGGCAGAATGTTGTGCTTACTGGTGTCGGGGAGGTGGTGATTGGTGCATTGGTTATCGATATGGGATCCACTCCCTTAGATTTCTGGATAGGAATATCTACTTAATAGGTCTACTAAATAGCTATGCATTGGGTGCATTTTATAAGTAGTTAGATGTCAATTTCAATTTCATTAAGTCACTAAGTAAGAAAGCTCCTATCTGCATGCTCGTAGATAATTGATACACTGTAAACTGACGTCCGGCGCCGCTTATGGTGCGTCGGCTTTCCTTCTTTTTCCACTTTTCATACTCTTTTTTTTCTTTTTTGGTGTTGTTGCATATGCGTTTGTGTTTTTGTTGTTTTATTCATGTTCGAACACAGGGGTCCGTTCGCATAAGCCGGTCATAAGGTTGATTATTATCAAGGTCCTGCAGGGATCCTTGTTGTGTTGAGAATGTCACAAAGGAAAAGAATCACATAATAAATTAAAAGTAAGGAACGGACCGGACCAGACTATCGGTATGGAAGGGCGAAGATGTTATTCTTGACAAAGTACGCAACGTCAAGACTAGAATCGTTGTCAGTCAGTTTGAATGCTGATCATCATCATCATCATCATCATCCTAGTGAAGCAGGATAAACACTTACAGTCTTTCGTTCTTCGCGCGGACTCCGCACAAGCGTCCTTGTAGTTCGAAGTTATTTTTTGCCAGCCAATCCCGGACCCAGCTCTTCGACTGGCGTTCCTCAGGGATGTAGGTGAATGTGAAAATTAGCCGAGCGAACTCACGACGTCCGCCCAGGCTGTACCCAGTGAGACCATGGTTGTAGAAATCATAACCGCCCTTGGTTCTGTGATTTCCATCACATACTTGCAAGAGCTTGTCCATGAGACAGTTCCCGATCCCTTTGCGTTGTTGCTCTGGGATGACGAATACTTCCAACTCAGCGGTGTATCTACCACTGGTTTCTGAACCGGTGTAGTCTTTGGCAGTAGCGTAGCCGAAGATATTTTCTCTTTGATTTCCCGAACCGCGCTCCACGGCAACGATAAACGGAAGGCGGGCGTCTTTGGCGGCTTGGATGCGCTGCCGGATGTCCCCTGGCTCCAACTTTCCGATGTCGACGCTCACGAAGGAGTTCTGGGCGTACCAGTTGTAAATGGGGAGGAGTTGATTGGCGTCTCCTGCGTGTGCCGGTCTGAGATAAATGTTTGCCCTTGGCGTGTTGGGATTTGGCGGCAAGGTGGCCATGCATTCAAGTTGCATGCGGCGCGCCAAAGCTAGTCTCTGCTCCTCTAGCTCTGCTTCGGCTTTTTTGTGCATGACATAGTTGTAGCTGAGACCTGCTGCCGTCTCGTGTCTGTGTCTATGAGCTAGCTCATCGTTGGGATTGAGGATTGTGGTAGCCTTTGGTAGATTCGGGACGATGAAGGTTCTAACACCATCTGGATGGGCGGTGCCATCAAAGTAGCCCTTGTGGTAGATGTCTGCGTAATAGGCATCCTGAATTGTCTCGTCGAGCCAAGAACGGAATTTTTGAAGCCACAAATCGTAAAACGGAAGCATAGGAGGGGCCCACCACCAATCACACAAGTGGTCGTACTTTCGCCATGTCTGATATGCGCTGGGTGGGAAAGTAGGAGGTTTGCCTCGCGAGGCATACGGATGAGCTTCGGGTCTCTGAAATTTGGCTTGCAGGGTGGTCTGCGCCTCAGTCGGCTTAGGAGATAGCGTCACTTGGTCGTTAATGATGTTAGGGTAAATGAAAGACTGCCTTTCGTATGCATCCCACAGTGGAGCTAGACGATCGCCGTCGATGAAGCCGTTACGAATCTGCTCGAGGTTATCGAGGCGGTCATCCTCTGGTTTGTCATCCAGATCATTGACTAAAAAGAGAGCCTCGACGTTCAAGTCGACTTCTTCCATTGGACGCACACGTCGATATCCCTCGATTTCCTTATAGACCTCCGACTTTGGGTCCACGCCTGGGCCGTCCCTGCATTTGGCTACTACTTCAGCATCAGCCGTTTCGACCTCCTCCTTGTATAGATTTTGATAAATCTTCGCAAGTTCCTCCTTTTGTAATCTTTTGATCTCTGCTCGCAACTCAGCACGGGTAGTAGGCTGCTTCTCCTCGGATGGTTCCCGCGCTGGCTGGTGAATGCTGCCCCCAAGAGGGGTACCGCCACCGGCCTCTATTCCAGTCTGTCCTGAAGCATCCTGATTTTGAGGCTGCAATGTTTCGGCTCTGGGATTACGCAGAACGACATAATCCGAGTCACCACTGGACGACATTTTTCCCTTAATAGCTTCTCAGGTGTCAGTTAGCACATCTCATGGTCAAGACGGAGGAAGCGGCATTCATCACTTACCAGGCAGAGCAAGCTGATGTGGCGGGTCAGACGAAGTATCTCGAGTGAATGTTAACTGACTTGACCTCTGGGGTGCTTTTGTGACGTGTGAGATGAGAGGAGGGTGAGAAGGACGTGCGGTGTTTCTCCAATTCTTCTGCTCAGTCCCTTGACCTCCTTTGTTTCTAGGGAGGATGCGCTGGTCGGGATTCTGATATTGGTATGGTCTTATGTGTGGTGGGATATAGGGGGATGGTGTGGATGTGGATGGCGATACGTGAGGACTGTCACACAATCTGCTCACTGGCCCAGGTAACTTGACAGTTATTTTGGAAGAGATTTTGGGTGATGAGGGGGGTTTGTTTTCATGTAAAGGCGATCGGCTAGTGGCCACAACCGGCTCAGGTGCTTTAAAACACTTGGGAATCGCCGTGGCGATCGCCTTGTGTGCTTTACGAGTGACTGTGACTGCAGTGCTATTTGTCGATCTGATGACAGTCGCTTGCATCTTATCAGCCTGACTCGGACTCACCGGATTGTGCAGAGGTGAAGTGATACTGTTATTCTCGGCACATCGTCGTTGCGAAGGCCGGTATCCAGGAGACCGGTATTTATTGGAAATCGAGGCGCTTGATACACTATCACGTGTCAATTTCATTCGCGCCCATAAGTCTGGGCTGTCATAGTCATAGTTGTTCTTCTGTGACATCTCTAACAGTGAGGTAGGTTAGTATCACTCATATCACCTCTCCCAAGGTTGTTCATGTTAGGCGTGGAGGATCCTACTTGTCATTGATTGCACTTATTGCTGCTAGAGGCCTCTGAAAAGACTGAATCACAGGACCCTATCTAATCAAACAGAAGATGCTGTCTTCTAACTCCCTAAATTGCCTCTGTCGTTAAGTGACAACACGGATGAGGATGAGGAGACTCTGCCCTACTGTGGACAGAGACATACTGAGGCATATGCGATGTGCGCACTATTTAACGAATATCGATTCCTCCCTAATGTCACGTTATGCGTACATGGTGAATCTTGATACAGCTGGGATTAAGTGGTTGCCTGTTATGTCTACGTGAAGGAAATGCATTGATATTCCAAATATTTGATATCTGCAATGACTCTGCTCACATTTCTTGATCTTGTTGTGAAAGTGAGAAAGTGAAAAGCCAGTACTGGGAATACTATTACGCAAGAGTGTAGGACTACATTAGGGTTGTAATTGGTTGTGCATGGGACGCATGGCCTATGATGTCTCACTGTGATGTGAAAGAGGTGTAGTAGTATATTCGACCGTGAGCGGGATCTATATCGAGCTTGTCGTTGGTCCAATTTTTCTTTCCCCTTCAATTACCCCAACTACAAACTGCGACATCACTGAAAGTCCAGTGAAGATGTTGTCCATTTTGAGAAAAGCCCGGCTGAAGGATAAGGAGATGCGAATCCTGATGCTGTGAGTCTCACCCAATGATACTTACAGCTAACGAATACCTTCACTAACAGCCATGGCCACAGAGGTCTGGACAATGCCGGGAAGACCACCATTGTCAAGCAGATTATGAATGAAGATGTCACCACTGTCAGTCCGACATTGGGTTTTATCATCAAGACGATAGATTTTCAGGGGTATGACTCTCTAAATTCGATTATCTACCAGAGTTACTCGCTGACTTTTACGCAGATATAGACTCAACATATGTAAGGATGTCGACCACTGATACCGCCCAGCCTCCACTAATCACCTGTCATTAGGGGACGTTGGAGGCCAAAAGACCCTCCGATCTTATTGGAAAAATTATTTTGAGAAGACTGATACATTAATCTGGGTTGTTGATGCGACCGACCGTCTTAGAGTGGATGATTGTAGAGATGAGCTCGCCGGGCTCCTTTTGGAAGAGGTTCGTTGCCATCCCCGCCGGCACCGCTGCGCCGCCCAAGAAGAGTTTTGCCAGTCACGGCTAACCGTCACGCAGCGTTTGATGGGAGCAAGTCTTTTGGTTTTCTTAAATAAGAGCGAAGTTGAGGGATGTATGGATGAGAATGAGGTTCGACAAGTAAGTTATACTCTTCGCTCTATTTTCTTCGATCGCTTTAGGCTCTTGATGTCGTGTCTTCCAGCGATCATTGACTGATGTTCTTGTCCACAGCGGCTTGGCTTGGATTCTATCAAAACACATAAATGGACGATATTACCCTGCAGTGCGATGACAGGAAAGAACCTGCATGAAGGGCTAGAATGGGTTGTCCAAGACGCCAAAGATAGACTTTTCCTGTACTAACTGATGTGGAAAGTCTATGGCTTTGCTTGGCACCCTTTGATGACCGCGATATGCTATTTGTTTCCCTTCTCGATTTATTTTCGTACTTATGGTCTTACAATAATGGCAAGAGGCATGTTTCTAGCATTTAATTGATATGAAAACTGATGATTCGTTGGCGAAGGTGCTGGTGATAATAGTAGACTTTGCCTCCTCTACTGAAGCACTAGTAGTAATTATATATTCTTCACGGAAGTTTGACCATACTAGTAGTACTAGTATTCAGCGATGGGTTCATTATTAAGCGTGTTAATTATCACACTACTATTAATGCATCCATACCCATGATTGAACTTCGTGTATCCTGAATAACTCCTAACCTATGAAAATAGTTTACAAGGGAGACAACATTCTAGTACTATGCTGGCTTGCACTCATTCTTCCCGTCAACTTACTACCAAGCACCACTAGCAGAGCCCCTGTCTCAACTGTTAGTGCCTGGTCGGGTATCGGAACGGCGATCAGACAAATCGCCTTCAGGGTCCACGAACTACACTACGATGGCCCTTGTCGAACATGGTAAAGGCAACGGTGTTCCCAGTTCCCACTAGGGGAGCGCCTCGTCTCGTAATTTACGTCAACCACGAGGTTTCAGCAAGGATTGCCGCCAGTAATGTGTCTCACGATACTAGTCCTGCGCCGGGTGGAAGGGGGAATTAATGTCGTCAGACCCGATCCTGCTGGGTGGTTGATGGGACTTCTAAGAAGCTCCCGCTTATCTTCGCATATCCACCTTTCTTTCCCCTTTCCCCTTCAAGGCCATCCATCCGTGGATTCCACACCAAGTTACCAAGCTTTGTGTGCCGAGTTTGACCCAACCGAGGTTCCCAAGGATAGTAATGCTGCCCGAGTAGAAGGGAACAAACTGGAAAGCAGGCCGGTCAGCCAGGTAAAAATTGATTGCGTATCCGATCGCGGGGCGGCAGAGAAAGTTGAGATTTGCTCCACCGCAAAAGCCGGACCCGGAAAAGTAAACAGTTCTCCGTGTAGAGAAACTTCCAAACATCCCCTCGTCAATTGATGATGAAGCTTTTGGGGAATCCGAGCGGACATCTCTCTTTGTTTGGGATTTGCGACACGATAAACCCCATCAGGATGGGCTTTGATCTCGCCTATTCGGTGCCGGGAGGGAGAAAGTTAAGGGGATCAGCTCATAGCCGTAGAGCGAGAGAGATGCGCAAGTGTCAATCCGGTCGGGCGCCTCATCCTAATTTCCTCTGGGCCTCCGGCTGTGGGGCGGCAGCTGATGTGCGTGCCTTCGCCGGGTTTTATTTGACGATGGAGGAGCATTACTATTCTTGCCTTCACGGTGCTCAGCTGGCCTTCGATACGGATCCACCACTAGAAACGAAAAAGACGCTGCCCGGCTCTCGCTGCCATTCCTTCCTTCACACTGGATCGCCCAGGGTGAAAGGTGGAGTAAACCAGACGACGACAACGACAACAACAGCAACAACAACAATGAGCTGGAGGCACACGAGTATCCCTTCCTAAGGCTCACATCCGGCACGAATCAGTCACAGAAAGTCCCTCAAGCGGGCAAGAGCCAGAGTGTCGCTCAATCACCACCACCACCACCACCGCTAACCGTGACACTCCCTCCACTCTTCCTGATTACTCCAACACCTCTGGTTCACAAACAACCAAATCATCCTCCCCCTCTCTTCCCCCCCTCCCCTCTTCTGTCTGGTGCCTCTTGTCAACACCCCACCGTTCCTGGGGGCTTTTTTTTTGTCGGTGTTTATTCGGATTGAAAGGGCACCTTTTCTTTTTCTGACTTGCCATTTCTGTTCTGTTCCCTCTTTTTTTTTCTTCTTTACCCAATTTTTGGGCTCATTGAACAAGTGCCAAGCTGGCCATGTCGTCCACAACCGACGCGGATGGCACTGAGGATGTCAACGACTTCCTTTTGCGCATCCGCGAATTAGGAGAGAAGCGCGATAAAGAGGACGAGGAACGCACAAAGAAGTTGGAGGAGGAAATTCTGCAGGGTCGGAAGGAAAGACAGGCTCGGAGAGCTGGTATTTGATTTCCCTTGCTTTTTTTTCCCGGCGCCCCCCCCTTTCAAAGCAAATTCCCAGTCGCCATGACTCACGGTTGGCTGGCGGCTGGCTGGTCCTTTTCCAAATCTGTCATCTTCAGGAATGCTGACTGTGTCCCGTTTTTTTGGGATGCAATACAGAGCGGGCACGGTCGATTTCCCCCACGAAAGATTCACCGATATTAGATCCCGCTCGGTTGAGCATGTCTTCTTTCAGCCAGCGAGCGATTGACCCCCCGGAACACCTCGAGCCTACCCCTCACACCCCGGGGCATGACACTGGCAACGGGGCTGATTCGGTTCGAGATGACGCATCGATATCCACCGACAATGGCCGGAGGGGGTCTACTCTGACGGCAAACGATGGAGAGACGGCTTCCAGACCTATCTCACCTTTCCGGAGCAGAGCCGGCACTCTCTCCTGGCAACAAAGACCCACGTCTCGGGATAGCAGCAGGGCTTTCTTCTCCGCGTCGCCCTCGCGTGAGAGCCGTTTTAGAGCCATGTCCACAACGTCTAATGATGATCATGGGGTATCTAGGAGCCCATTCGCGTCTTCTCCTTCGTTCAAGGACGTACCGTGGGCCCGCCACACAGAGGGAGGGAGCCCGTCTCCGACCCGCGCAAAGCAGGTAGAGGAAGACTCACTGCACCCTCTGCACCCTGATACTGGCGTCAAGGAGTCGGAGGCGAACCAGGAGCACACCACGGAGTCGGCGAAGGAAGCAGAAAATAATGAGCTCGTGGAAGAGCGATCGCGGTCTCCGTCAAGGGCAAGCTCGACGTTTGCAGAAAGTAGTTTGGGTAATCGGTATTCGAGCATATCTTCTGTGTCGACGGCCACTGGGCTTGGCTCTCCTTTGCCTCTGACGAGCGCACAAAAACTCGAGCCGCGAAAGACGGAGGACGTCGCAGATGACCAGATAACATCACCCCCCTCGCCTAGGCGTTTGTCTCCCGAGCGTTCTACGTCTCCTACCAAGGGGCTCGGTGGATTCGTGCAGAGTGCCATGATGAAGCGATCAGATAGCGTGTCTAAACGCTGGAGCGCTCAGCTGCCGTCGGGGCTTAGTCGGGGCAATTCAATTTCAAGCAACCGCAACAGCTTCGCTGCTCCTTCCGGCAGTGATGTTTTCTCCACTGCGCCTTCATATAGAATGAGCAGGGATGGCGCAAGTCTTTCGCCCTCGCGGCCGACCTCTAGCCATCGACCCGGTTCCAGCCATAGGCCTGGTTCTAGCCACAGACCCGGGTCTAGCCATAGCGAAGCGACTGTCGTTCATCCGGTCAAAGATGGCGAACGACCGGCTACACCTCCCGTTCCGGGCAGCAGTGGTGCGCGGCTAGATGAAGAGAACCGCAGACCCTCTCTGAGTCTGCATACGCGGTCTACCAGCACCGTTGAGAAAAGCACGGATTCCGGCTCGCTACCCCCATCAAGCCCGTCAGTTTCGAGAACGATGGATCCCAAGAGATGGAGCCCGACCAAAGCTTCCTGGCTCGAGAGTGCTTTGAACCGCGATGAATCACCTAGGCATAAGCGACAGCCCTCTCAACAGGCTTCTTGGGTCAAAGATCGGCAATCAAGAGGTAGCGTTGACTTGGGTCGAACCGCAAGCTTCAAAGAGGTCACACCCGTGGGCCTTATGCGGACTACTGCTCCTGGTGGTCACTCGAAGACCTCCAGTATCACCGGCATCCCCGACATATTTTCCAATCAAGATGCTGGGAAGACAAAGGAAGCAGATCCCGAAACCACCGTACAAAGTGCAGATACTCAGGATAGCACTTTACCACCTGCAGAGAAGACCGAAGAGGCCTCTCCTTCGAAAGAAGAGTCGCCTACCAAAACAGAGGCGGAGCCCGGGAAAACGGAAGATGAGGCTACTAAACACAAGCGTACGCCGTCGAACCTGAGCCCAATAACCAAGACCACTATCGATGCGCCCCTGGCATCCCCTCGTGATCCGCTGTTGAATCGGCCCAAGCCTCTGTCTCCTGTGATAGATTTCAGAGCCAACCTTCGACGCAGGGAAGTGGTTAAGGATGAGTCACCCAGGGAGGAACCGGAATTCAAGAATATCTTTGGAAGGCTGAAGAAAGCAGAGTCCTCAAAACACGTGCCGCCGGACGAATTGAAAGAGAATATCCTCAAAGGCAAGGCAGCTCTGAACTCCTCGGGCGGACCAAAGAAGTCGCAGAAAGTGGATGAATTGAAAGACAGCATCCTGAAGCAGAAAGAAGCAATCAAAGCCAGTGGGGGTTCGCTGAGACGTAATACTGCGGGGGAGAAGGATGCTCCTGGCAAATTTGTACCTGAAGCAATTGCAATGCGGAACAATTTGACCAAGTCCAGCAGTATCAAAAGCAATCTTTCAGCAGCCGATTCTTCGTCGCCGCTTTCGCCGCTCTCGCCTAGAGAGCCGGGCACACCAAAAAGCACGCATGGCTTCCAGGTTGCATCGCCACTGTCCCCTGCCGGCGCTGAGCCCCTCGAAAAGTTCCAAGGCTCGCCAATCGCTCCAGAACCACCCAAGCCGGGCGTTGATGATACTGCCGAGGAGGCCGCCCAGCCAAAACTGCCGGAACAAGAGAGAGAATGCGAACATGAGAAGACAGACGGGGCAGAGGTGAACGCTGAAGAGGTAAAGGAGGAGGGCATCAATCCGGTGCGTTCTCTGCCACCGGGGGATTTGATGCAGGCTACAAGTGCACCTGCTGAGACCGAGGGTCCTGCTGCTAAAAGTAAACTCGCAGGCCGATTAAACCCTGCCTTAGCGGGACTTTTGTCCCGTGGCCCGCCCGCACCGATCAACGGGTCCATGAAAGGTCCTTCTTTCGGCAGTGCTGGGGAAAGCAGCTCAGGAGTGGAAGGCTCTCAAGCTGGCGCACTCACTCATTTGACCAAGGGTCGAGCTAG